CAAGTGCTGAAGTCTGTGCAGTAAGAAACTGATTTCAGTATGATTGGTTTTTGTTGGTTCTCATACTCAAGCATTCGTGGAAATCACCTGCTGAAACCAGAACCAGGCCACCTGGGCCACATTCCCAGGTTTCCTAACTCAGCAGATCTAGGGTGGATTTGGGAATTTGCAATTCTGACAGGTTCTCAGGAAATGCCGACTTTGCTGATCTGGGGAACTTTACTAGCTTTGGGTGTAAGAATACATAGGGCTTTAATCAAAAATATCTGTTGAAATCAGCCCATGTTAGTGACTGGCATCAGATTTTCAGGTCTCTAATCTGAGGAAGATATGTGATGGGTGCCTAGGGACAAGTACAAGGGAGTCTATAGGAGATGGACACTAACTAGTATTGTTGTGTAATGTGCACAAGGTCACTTGTATTAACTGGATACCTTGCCCAAACCACTGGAAGATCTATTTCTCTTTCTAGTTCCACTAAAATTCTTTTTTAATTTGTCACTGAACAACTCAGAGCAGTCCTCCAGCAGATGAAAATTTTATCAAAGGCGCCTCAGCTCCACTCTGCAGACAATCACCTGTTCCCTCTTTCAGAGTAGTTGAATAGATGCAAATATATTTTGGCACTCAAGCATAACATATTCAAATGCACCTAAGTGTGAATTTCCCAGATGCAGTTTCTGTAGCACTTCTAAAATGAGATGGATGTTCAATGGATCTGATAAACCAGCTAGTAGACTAAAGGATTCCACTGATATGAATGGAAAAATTAATTATATTCAACAACCATCAGCTTTAAAATAACATATTATAGTAAAAAGAAAATAATTAAAAACAAGAGAGTTGTTCTAGCAACCAGGGGACAAATGCTGAAATAGCTGTTGAATTACAATGTACTTGATGTTGTACCTTTTCCTATTAGATATATGGAAAAAAGGGAAATCTAGGGTCTAAACTTCCATCATGAAGAGCTCCAAGTCTATGGGTAAAACATGGTCAAATTCATACTTTTCTCTTTCCATGGAATCATTCTGTGGACTCAGATTATGGGATTAGGGGAGTGAGGTGAGCCAAGCTTTAGGTATAATGCTATTTTTCATATGCACTAAAAAAAAAACCCCAAGGAGAAAAGTATCATATGCCAGGCTTTAGCAACAGAGTTCATATGTCATTCAGTCCATGTTCCCAACATTAACAAGTCCTCTTCATTTTAGTGAAATGAAAAAATCTTCAAATTTAATGTAGGGGAAATAGTTTATGAATCTGGAAGAAGAAAATTAACAGACATAGGTATAAAACTTGCCCCTAGTGGTGACAATCTGCTAAATTTAGATAAATCTATTATTTGACATTAATGTGTGCTAAGTGATCTAGATAAAGAGGTGTTAATTACTACTTCTGGTTTTTAATGGACAGCCCAACTAACACATTTCCAAATAAGAGTAATTTACTAGTAAAGACATCTGAGTATAAATATCAGCATATACTGGAAATTGGTAGTCAAATTAGATACTGCTGGTAATACAAGGTATATAAGGGAGCCAGTTATTTGTAGAATCAATATAGCTAGAAATCATTGTAACTTGGATCTGCATTTTCTATTCTTGATACTTTTTCCTTCTGTAAAAGGAAAATGCTGCTTTGACCATGGATCCAGTCAATGGGCCAGATACCAGTAAGGTCGATTCTAAGTACCAAGACACAGTGGGTGAACAAGGGTCCTAGGGTAGTGACCACTTCAATAAACCAAGTACTGAGATTAGGACAACAAATATGGGAGGCCAGGATGGTTGGATTTCATGATCCTCAGGGCTCGGGGTATAATCCATATGTGGCCTGGAAAGCCAAAGAGGTAAAGCAGCACAGACATATGATTTAAGTTTCAGAGGGATAAAGCATGCATGTAACTATGAGCGATAATGAACAGTATGCTGTAATTTTTTGGTACAGTCTTCTGCTCCAATATGGCAGCTATACAGCTACTCCAGGGTCCATTTCCAAGAGTTTTGGCGTTTATCTGTTAATTTAGCAGATCTGACTTTGCAGAAATTACCTAGGTGAGAGAGCATGACTGTAAATAATGCTATAAGCAATTTAAATTTTTTTCATGGGGAAAAGCCAAGATAGGTTTTTGAGTACAAAAATCCTATTGTGTTTAATCCTGTTCCACATTTATTATGTTCTAATGAAGTCTGTATACTTTTCTGCTTTAGCTTTTTTTCCCCTTAGTTACAGATTATAGGTGATAATTTATATGTAGCAGTTGCAAACCCCACCTAATCTAACCCCCTCCTTGCTCTCCAGCAGCCACTCTTCTTCAGTCCCATTCACATCTTCATTTTTACTTTATATTGTCTTAATCACAAAAAAACAGAAAATGTCATTTTGTGTTTTAAAAATATGCCCCAATTCTCATCGTGGTAGTCATCAAATATCAAGATAGATTAGGTAGAGGATTCTAATCCATAATTTCTGGAAGACTGTAGATATCTTCCCCTGGTTAGGATTTTTCAGTTAAAGTTTGTGTAAGTAAAACAAGAAAAAAAAGTTACAATCTTGCTCTGCTTGTGTATTGCCTTGAATCAGAAAGTCATCTCACATTTCACTGCCCTAAGACTTGTTAATGACATTTATACTCAGTGCACAGCATTTTAACACCTTGGAACAAAGCATTTTTATGTCAGTTTCATTAACAGTGATACTGAGAAAGCTGCTCGGCAGCACAGCAGAGTGCCAGAGGAACCCAAGCCCATCTGATCAGAAAACCATGGCACCATGGTAATAAAACAATTAAGAGCACCCCTCAGGGAAAGACAAGTTCAATAATTAACTTTCAATGCCAATTAGTGCTACCACTTTCTTAGCACAAGTCATATCTATGATAGTAAGATCAAAATGTAGTTCCTAAATCGAGCCACTAAACTGAATATGTATATTCTTTATATGAACTTTCCAATTAGGCAAAAGTTTAAAATAAAATACTTAGTAAAAATATTGCATGGGTGATGTATTATTTATCTACTGAACTTTAATCCATAAGAGAATTAGAGACATAAGTAATTTCTTCAAACTAAATAAATAAACTAGCAATTCTTTTTTTTTTAAATGGGGAGTGGAGAGGGTAAAAAGATAATCTCTAAACTACCTGTCAAATTCTAGGTAGTACCTATATTAAACATTACATACTCTATAAGGAACCAAGGCTCTTTGGAGATCTGGTTGATTCCAGGAAGAGTACAGAAAGTACAAGATGTACCTGGAATATAAGGTGTCAGAAAGTAAGCAAGTTCTCACAGAAGGAAGACAAGCTTAAAGGGCACATCTTTAAGGAACTCCAACTGGCCAAATTTGGGACAATTCGAACATCAAAATAAATAATGGTAAAGCATACAGAGCCTACTGTATGAATAGCAAGTTCTGTGATCATAGATGATTTAGATAAATAAATGAATAAGTAAAGGGCAAGAACAAAAAGCTTTTATTATAGTAAAAGGCCAAATGGTAAATGTAGAAGAAATAATAAAACCACCTTTTGGCAACCATCAGAATAATAACTCAGAAAAAGAAAAACATGAATTCTAAAACCAATGGGTAAAAAAGTATGATAAAGAACATTTACAATCTCACTTCCCAGTATGTTTGAACAAGAAAAGGGGTAAAGAGTAACTTTACAGTGACAAAGCCTGGCCAGCTCTGCCTCAAGCAAGGGGCACAGTAACTAATGAGAATCATGTGATGGGACAGGAAAGACATAGTCATCAGTTCTCTGAGGTTCACATACATACATGATCAATCAATCAGTATGATCATGATAAACTATCAGATAAATACCACATCTACGAAGGGGGGAATTCTACAATGTAACTGGTCTGCACTTTTCCAAACTGTCTAAGTCATAAAGTTCTAGAAAGACCAAGTAAGTAAGTATTCCAGACTGAAAGAGCCTGGAAAGAGAGATGTGTCAACAAGATTCAATTCACAATGCTAGACCGATATGGGACACTGTTGAGACAAATGGGAAAATTTAAGTAGGATCTCAGGTTTGGTGTTGGTGGGAATGAACTAACCTGAGTTTCCTAATTTGGATATTGCATTGTAGTTATATAGGAAAATGTGACTTTGTAAAGAAAATATATATCGAAATATTCAGGAGTGATGGAGAAATACTACAGTTAGGATCTTGAATGTCCTCCAAAAGCCCATGTGTTGAAGGCTTGGTCCCCAGGGTGGCATGAATGGGAGGTGGTAGAACTCTTAAGAGGTGGGGCCTGGCAGCAGGTGTTCAGGTAAATGAGAGTGCGCCCTTGGACAGGAGAGCAGAATCTCAGCCCCTTCCTTTCCTCTCTTTTACTTGCTGAGGGAAGCGGTTTTTCTCTGCTGTGATCAAGATGTGCTGCTTCTCTATAGGCCCCATCTAATCAATCGATCGTGGATGGGAACCTCCAAAACTGTGAGCCAAATAAAGCTTTTCTCTTTACAAGTGGAGTATCTTCCATGATTGTTATAGTGGTGGAAAGCTAACACAGACATTTACTTTCAAATGGTTCTGCAATTAAAAAGTTGTGTTCCATTCTTGCACATTTTCTCTAATATTGAAATTATTTCCAAACACAAAAAGACATAACACCAAATTCTCTATGTATAACTATTCATAAAAACATAAATAATGTAAATAAAATCTTAAAGAAACCCTTCTGCTGAAGTATTGCATTTGAGAAGCACTTTTTAACTTTAAAAAATCCCTTGATATCATTTTCCATAACAGTAATAACTTTTAAGATGATTACATATATGTTCATGTTTAATTCAACAAGAAAATGAATACTAAAAAAGAAGCCCTCCAGCAAAACAAAACAGAAAATAGCATAATAAAGCAAACAGTCTTCACCCTTTTATACCTAAACAGTAGTTAATTCTAAGATGCACCTGTCCTCACACTGCCTCATCTTGTTTTCTTGAATAATATATACAAAGAACTCTGAAAACCAAAGACCAGATACCTTGATTTAGATGTGTGGCCTCCATGATCTGGACACCATTCACAGAGCACTGAGAACCACTCAGGGGTATTAGCGTCACTGTTCCCCCAACATTTTCGAAGACACAGTGCTCACTCTCCAAGTCAAGGCCATGAAGAACTAATTTGGAAAAACAAAGAAGAAAGATTTGTATCTACCACAATGGCGTTCAATCATTTAGCTACTGATTTTATATTTGGAAAATTCTCTTTTCTACAAAAGGATTGTGAAGTGAACATTTATGGTTAGAGTAAGAAAACTAAAATGTAGGGCTTCTGACAAAATGGAGGTACCATTCGACTGCCAGTTCAAAGTGTCCAGATAGCACCTGCATAAGAAAACAAGTTCTGGGACATCTACTTATTTTTTCCTCAGGGAGAGGAGAGTCGAGTAACTTGTTTCAACTGAGTGCCACTGAGCTGCGCTGTTCAATTCTAAATAAGTTTCTTCTAGAAGTCACCCAAAGCCCACAGAAAAATGGAAGAGTAAAAGGGCATTGTGGGTCTAGGACTTGGAATTACCTCCATACTAACAGATAACATATTCCAGGAACAGAAACCAGAGGCAAACTTGACCTGGCAAGGATCTCAGAAGGCTTAAGAAGTCTGCAGAAGCTGTGCTAGGGGCCCTTGGCCACAACATTTGCCAATTCTGAGCCCCTTGGAGCACATGGTCGCTGAGGTTTACCTAATCATGACTACCTTGGTTACTCTTGTCTGAGGAATGGCCAGGCACAGATGAAATGTATGGTTGGAGGCAAAGTTGTTGGCTAGTAACTCAGGAATACAGACCAAGTGGCTTTGCTCCCTCCACAGAATGCATTACTGAACTTCTCTGGGCACAGAGAACATGTGTTCTTACCAGTTGTCATCATTTACAGCTACCATGAAGGTCAGATGCATAATTCAACCAGAGGCCTGCTGCCAAGACCTACTCAATAATACTTGAACCTGGGGACTTCTGGGATTGGTTTTCAGCTCTCCCAGGCTATCCACAGTAAATAGAGAATACACACAGGATTGGCTGGAATTGGCTTGATTAATAGCTTATATCTGGCAACCAAACAGGTTCATAGCCAGCAATTCTCAAAACATCTGAAACAATATAATTCTTCCCCCGTCAATCCCCTCCTTCCCCCACACACATCTACATCCACCACCACCTTCTCCTCTACAAACTGCCTACATGATGTTCTGGAAGCCAGGCCAGCACTCATCTGCTCAGCCCTAATGACTGGTTGTCTGTGGGCTTTGTGCAGACCTCTGGGAAACAAGGCAAGTCAGGCCTTCTAACGTGTGTATGCTACTGTGTCATAATCTATGTGCAGGTAAGTGTCTATATGCTTCCTTGAAAGGGCTGTAGATTCTTTGCAGCCTTTGACATATTTTCATCAATTGCCATCTCACTGTGACAACTGAAAGACCTCGTAAGGGAGAAATAAATGAAGGGTGATAGAAGGAATTCACAGTTCCATTTTGTTCACTAAAATAATTGCACTGTTATTTACTTGAGTACTGTTCAAACTTACAGAGATACATACACTGTACTGGCCAATACTATACTTGAAAATATTTATTTTTTATAATTACTTCAGTGTCATTCAAAAGAAAGTTCTTTGTTAAATATGCTTTTAAAAATTCAGTGGGAAGAAAAAATTGATGAGTCTCACCAATATCTTGCTCCATTGAAGCATCTTCTCTACCAACATATGTCTGACCTTCCTGGAAAGAAAAGTCAAAGAACATTTCTTAGTGAGAACAGGGGCCTGCTTCTCCTCCCCTCACTGAACCCAAGCAGCGTGATAGCCGATGAGATGAGCAAGCTGTGGGCAAGGCATGGTCTCCATACAGAGAACTCACTGAGGCTCTGCCCAACAGCCCTGAGGCATGGAAAATGACAGTGCCACTCCTGAGGCTGCTGCTCAGCTATGGTTAAGCTTTGACCTGGCATGTGTCACCAATTCACTCATTCCAGCAGTGTCACTGATGTCCCTGATCCTTGCTGGGGAGGCTCTCCGCCCATGGCTGACTTTGTGTTGTGTCTGAAGGTATGGTACATGGGAGGCCAATACAGCATCATTCCTAGCTTAGGTCATAGACCCGAGAGGACATTAAGGTCAAGGTCACAGGCACAACCATCAAAATGGAACTTTGCTTGCTGGACATGAGTAACCTACTCAGAACCAAATCCAGCAATAAAGGCAGGAGGCACTAACTTATAATGACTGCGAGGACCTAGGAAACTGTATACACAACAAATCCCAGCTCTGGGCATTGTAACTTTTACTTCTTCTGTTTTTCGGCCTTTTTGTTCCTTGCTTTCTTTTTCCTTCTTCTACAAAACAGAAGCCAAAAGACTGACTCACCATTTAGTTTTCAAACTACTGCACATGAACATGGGAACTTCAAAAGACCACAGAATCCCAATGAACTGCTGAAAATCCACAAAGGGCTCAAAGATTTATTGTACAGTCTTTAATTTAATAGTTGTATTCATGGCCATAAAGTATTACAATAAACCTTGCTAGTGTCTAAAGAGAAAACGGGAAACAAAATTAGAACATTCCACTGACGCAGATTCTACCTTCAAGTGATATAAGATGATTCCAGTGCTCAGAAGGTCATCATCAATGCCAATCAGGTGAGGTAGTTCGGAATCCAAAACAACCCCAATCCCTTCCTTCCTAAGAGCTAGCGTCTGTTCCTAAAATTAGAGAAAGGAGAAATGGCAAAGGTTACTTTGGGGAAAGAGAATTTCATATTAAGTGTTCCTTAGATTGTTAAATTAAAAAAAAAATTATTTCTTATAAATAATTGCAAGACAAATGGCCTTTCAGCTTCATGTTGAAATCCTGGAAGGTGGTAAGCAAAGTGAATATGGAACATATAAAAAGTTCAATACATAATGAATTATACAGCTTGATATATAACTTTTTCAAACCCAATCTCAAAAGCCACTTTCCTCAGGAAAAATTTTAGGATCACCCACCACAAAGTAATCTTTCTTTCTTCTTCCGAACGTTTTACTTCACTTAAAATCTAGAAGTCTCCTTGATTGCTGGCTCTTCTCACCCATTACCACAGTACACTGTTATGTCCTCAAGCACAACTCTTTGATGTGCATTAGGCATCCTGGCACCAGGGGTACCTCTGTCTCCTGCATCACTGGCTTCTCCTGTCTTCTGAGCATTCCCCACTACCTACAAGTCTATTAGAGATCACCTACCAACAACCACTCCCCCCACCACCTCCCTGAGCCTGGCATCTCCCTCAGCTACCACCAATTTCTGTGTGCCCCCTAAAAGAAAATCACCTCAAAATATGACTCCCCAATTCCTACCATCTCTTTAAACCTTCCATTGCGACTGTCATCCTCAGGTCTCTGCCTAAACTCACTCCCTTAAAAAGCTCATCTTGACTTCTTACTTACCTGCCATCTACATGCTTAGGCTTCTCAAAATCACCAGAGCAGATCTCTTCTGAAACCATATACGTATGTAAATATACCTGTACTGGTCACTATCCCACCACTGGGACCCAACACTGGCAACTTAGAGGAGGAGAGGTTTATTTGGCTCACAGTTTCAGGGTATTCAATCTATGGGTGGCTGGCTCCAAGGCAGAAACAGTATGGTAAAAGGTTACGGCAGAGGAAGGCTGCTCATACCACAGCGGCCAGGAAGCAGAGAGAGGAGGGAGGACCCAGCCAGAGAAAAACATCCCTCCAGATCACAGTCCCACATCTGACAAGGTCCTGTCTCCTAACAGCACATTTAGCCATGAACTAATCAATGGATTATCTACTAATGATCACAACACCCCCATGACTCAACCACTTTCCAAATACATGAGACTTTTGAGAAATATTTTAGATCTAAACCATAACAATACCCATATAACTCAATATACCTGTGTGGATGCCAAACATTCAGCTCATCTTTAATACAAAAAATCACAACCCTGACCTACAGACTGGCCCATCACAGTGAATGCCAACTTTCCAGCAGTTATTCAGACCAAAATTCATGGCTATATTTCACTCTTTTCTTTTTCTAGTCTAAACCCTACATCCATAGTGCTGACTCTTACCTTGAAAATGTGCCCCACACCTAGTAATGTCAAGCCACCTGCACCACTCTGCCCTGCCCCAATCATCATCCTCTTTCACAGTGATCTGCCTGTCACTTATACCCTGTGATATCGCACACACAGAAAGCAGAGGATGTCAGAGCAGGCTTCTCCTCTACTCACATCTCTTAAGTGGCTTCCCATTTCACTGAGTTAAAAGCCCAAACTCTTCACAATGCTTCACAAGCTTGACCTTGCTGACCTGCACCAGGCCTTGCTGACCTCCACTGTCTCCTGTGGGGCCCCTGCTCACTAGACCTCTCACTTACCAGTCTGCCTCCTCTCAGGACCTCATTCACTGCTCTTCTTCTGCCTTCCTGTCATTCTATTACTGCTCTTGCCTGAGAGCAGGGTCTCACACTCAGCACTATGACATTTATTATTCTTTATTCTTAGGCAGTGGTGGACACTTGGCAGCATCTCTGGCCTCCATCCATTAGGTGCTAGCAGCAAAATTGCCCTCCCCTATGGTGGTGACAACCAAAAACGTATCCAGACACTGCCAAATGTCTCCTGGGGGACCAAACAGGCCCCAGTTGAGAATCACAGTCCTCACTACACACATATCATGGTTCATCACTTCACTCAGGTTCTGCTCAAAGGCCCCTGTCCCATCCCTCCATATGGAACAGCAAGTACCAAGCTTCCTCGTGCTGACCTGTCTCTTCCCTGTAATCATTACACATGGTGTGGCCCGAACTTTGGTCCCATGAATGAGTAGGAAGGCACATGCAGTACAGGGCAAGGCAAGATGCATACTCAGAGCAGCCCTCAGAGAGGAGGCCAGCAGCACTGTTTTTTAAAGTCAGACCCAACTGCCCCAGGACAAAAGACCTCTAATATCAGGTTTTTAGGGGAGTCAAAGGGCAGAAGAAGACAAATTCGGGAAGAATAAAGGTGAAATATTCAGTCTCAAGGTTGAGCTGTGCTGAGTTCAGCATGAGTAACACCCCAGAGCATGGCACTGTAGGAACAAGTTCCAAGCTGCTAACCAGAGTGCTGGTCAGAGCCATTCTTGGTGAATCTTCTCCTCTTCCTCCCATACACATCTCTGCATCTCAGTGCTCCCAGAATATAACCACTATGCCTTATATTCCTGGCATGAGCTAATGTTATTTTGATGTCATTCAAATATTCAAACAATGTATAGTCTACGATGCCCGAGTGAAGGATTCAGAATTTCTCCAGCTAGTGTCAAAGCAGAACTGAAATCTTGCACACAAGCGAGCTCCTAAGAGGCTGTGGCACTGGGGAAGGGGAGAAAAGTCCCTCAGGCCATCCTCTCTGCAGACCTTTAAGTCTCAAGTGCATAGCTGCAGACCTGGAGTAGTCAATGGGAAAGCCCAATGGAATGAAGCAGCAGGAAAAAAAGATAGCTTAAAAAAAACACATAAAAATCACCATTTGAAAGAAAGCAATTTAATTTAACAACCATTAAATAGATATGCAGAGAAAATGACCAATCCATAACTTAGATTCAAGAAAAGGAAATGAAGCATATCATTGTTCTTCAATTACTCCTCTTATCGGCCAGGCTCCTATTCCTTGGCTCAAAACCTCAAGCTGTGAGGTGGGAGACTCAGTAACCTTGATTTACTACACCAAGGCCCTTGCAAATCTGTACTAAGAAGAACACTCTACATAAAACAACCCCTACTCCTACCACTCAGATATTGGTAGAATTCATCCTCTCCCTCCTGCCCATGGAATTCAAGCAGAAGTAGAAAGTATGTATTTCTCTTTTTAAAGATATATATTATGGTGGAGAGCTTAATCCACAGCTCTATTTCATAAAATAGTGTCCCCCTGGAAGGTCTGGTGGCTCTGGACTGTGACAGTGCTGCAAACACAGGCAGCAGCATCATGCAATGGGCTCTTTCAGGCCTCTAGGTCCAAGTAAAAAGGAGAGTGACTATTTTTGCAACTCTAGGGCCATATGTATTTTTTTTCTGCAGAAAAAGAAGATAACAAGTTACTCCCTTTCTCTCCCAAAAAAAAAAAAAAAAAAAAAGGCAGAATTACAAACTAGAATAGCTCCCAAAGTGAAGAAATTGCTTTGGACTCCATCCAAGTTTAGTTTAGTGTTCTTTAAGAAAAAAAAATTTGAAAAACACTTTTTTTTTTCTTCCTTGAAGCAAATCTCATAGACTTTGAGAGCACTGGAAATCTGTAACTTCAAAGCCATTAGGTCAAAAGCATTACTCATTCCCACCCATCTGCAACACATACATACAGCCCTGCAAAAACCACACTCATGAACACTCACATGCTCTTCCACACATACAACGGGTAATGCCTGAAATAGGAGAAAGTTTTCCAGGCCTAAAAGTGGGGGCAGATGAATTTATGATTTATGTTGCCCTAAAGCTCTATGACATTCAAGATGCATTCAACTATATGATATTATAAAAGTGTCACCTCGTAAAACTGAAAACGAGGGTTTAAATCATTGCTCAAGTGAGAAAGTAATTTCAGACAAAAATATCTATCACATATAAAATATTTATTGAGTGGCATCTACTGTTATACATAATTTATGAAACACCTCTTAGATGAGACAGAACAACTGACATGGCAGAGCTGGCCACCCGCCCCCATGGGGCACACTGGATCCCACAAAGAGAGGCAAAACACATGGAGATGCACAAACCTTGCAGGGAAACAAAGCTTTTGGCATACAACCCTGCTTGAATGAAAAGGAAAGTACAGACTAAGAGGATAAAAATGTAGTATCTGCCTACTTTAAACACTGTCTTCATTAAATTTGCAAATAAAATGCTCAGTATGTTTTTCTTCACCCCACAGACACCTATTCATGTAAAATATCTCTGAATTTAAAACGTGTCCAGTGCTGGGGCTGACACAGAATCACCTCTGCCACATTCAGGGGGCTCTGGAGGGTTGCCAGATTCCTGGGGTGAAGACATGGCTCATGGAAGATTCCCCTGGACCACAAAACTTGTGCATGACTAAGGCTGACTAAGAGTTTTACCTCTTTTAATTATGTGTTCTTAGTGTCTATCACTGTACCTTACAAAACTTCACAACTTTGTTGAATATATAAGGAAGTGAAGACCAATATAGAAATTAACTGGGCTGGGGGTGGGGCTCAGTAGTAGAGTATAGTTTTAGCACACACCAGGCCCTCAGTCCCCAGCACCAAAAAATAAAGCAAAACAAAAACTCAACAACAAAAACATATTTTCCCCCTTTTGGGGATTCTACCTGGGAGCTAGATTGGGCTTGGAAAAAACTATTAAAATGTTGGCAATGTGTCTGCCCCAATTAAATTAAGAACACTCTATGAAATTATATTTTCTCACACTGAGTTTGTTAGGTTGATACAATGGCACAGGCACATAGTAATCATTCAATCATGGTTGATTATTTGGTACTGTAGGGAGTGATTTTTAAGTGGATTCCCCCAAGAGCCAAAAATTGAATATTAGAATCTTTTTACGGAAAGTTATTCTACAGATAATTATATATTTAACTAATTACTGGAATTTTGTAGAGTTGACTCACATTTATTAAGTACATTTAACTTTTGCAATTCTGAGTACAAACACTGAGCAA